TTATAGGGACAGTCCCGATTTTTGGGTCTTTTTCTTATATAGGTTCCTATTACCCCCCCGCCCCGTCCCGATTTTTCACACTTGCTGTCTCGTCACCCTACATGAGGGGTTGCAGGTTGGCTTTGCAGGATGCAGCCTTACTTTCCAGAGGGGTGGTGTCAAACAGGCAGATTTCAGTGCAGATGCTTAGCCACTGGGAAGAGGATGGAATCCACCACACAGGTGCTGGACAAGGTTATGGAGGAAGATGTCCATTTAACAGGTTAAAACTTGTATATGATTAACAGCAGCATCTGCAGAGACACTAAGCAGGATAACCTTCCCCCAGAAGACCAAGCCTCACGCTTCAGGGCATAAACAGATATCGGGGTCAGGAAGGAATTCCCCCCCACTTGGTACCACACAGCACAGTTCAGTCCTCCATGGAGGAAATGCAGCCCCAGGTAAAGGGCGAAGTCTCAGATAAGACCTCAAAAATAAGTTTTAAAGTGGGACTTAAGTGATGCACCGATATTCTGCTGCCACCTCTACAAAGGAATGAATTTTGCCATCTGGAAGATAAACATCTGAAGAGTCCAGCACTGAGGAGTGACAGATAGGCTATCAGGCTAGATAGCCAAAAGGCCAACAAGAGACAATTAAGATCAAGTGCTGTATGTCACTATGAAATGGGCTTTTGGTGTGTGCCAGTAGGGAAATTTATGGGATGCAACCCTCATGAGCCCAATTGAGGCATAATGCACCAGATGGTTAGCTGGTGTAAGGAAGCGCCACTGGAACTCCAAACCGGAGTTATTCTCACCCTGTGAAACCTTGCCCCTGCTTTAACACTTGCTTATTCAACTTAGTCTTGTCTCCTCTTCACCATCAGCTCTAAGAAAACAAATACACACAAACTCAGCAATCTCAGTAGCATTTCTATCCGCAAAGTGCTTTATTTAAAAAACAAAAAAGGATCTAACTCGTGTGCTTTGATAACCTATTGAATTGTTACATAAGCTTTTCTCGTTAATAAATGAGGCATTGTCAAAGTCATGATCAAAATACATAAAAAGCATTTGTCACTTTACAATACTTTCAGTAACACAAATGCTAGACAGATCTGTGTAAAAAAAAAAAAAGGTACCATTTAAAAAAAGCCTACAAAGTTACACTACAAAAACTCAAAAGGAAGAAAATCGCCACGAAAGTTTTAGTTAGCGTTAACGACATACAAAGAGATATTGCTTGTTTAGCTCCAGAATGAGAGAGATTTACACAGATGTTCTACTTATGTCAATGATAAAGCAGATATTACAGGTGGTAATTGAGGCTCATAAACTGCAGCTCAACTAGGGACGTGGGGGCAAACCCAGTAGTGGTTTGAGATTTGGATCTGGGTTCACGTTTATATGAATTTCTAAAGCTCAGAGAGGGTTGGGAAAATGGTTCCAGCATTGCCCCGGTCGCTACACATCTGTCACTGGCATAATCCCAATTGCTGCTCATTCTCTTAGTAACAAGGATGCACTATTGCCCATTCGTTCCCCTTTTGCAAACAGATCTTGGTGATCAGAATTTATTTCCCCACGCCATGTCAGAACCGTGCTGGGGAGAGCAACCACGTGAGGTGCAGGGCAATGAAGAACTGGAGCTCTTCAGTTTTTCTGGCAAGGAAGCAGGAGAAGCCCAGCATCCATGTTCACAATGGCGATCAGAGTTGGAACCTGTGTACACTGAAGGCCTTGAAAAGACTCCCATTGCCTTCAATGAGGAGCAATGTAAGGGCCAGTCTAAGTTAGGAAAATTTGCACCCCCAAAACACTGCAGCAGCGCAAAATGGTGCTGGTACTAGAAAAAGTTGCAGTGGGGTAAGCACCACTGGGCACTATGGCCACGTGTCTAAAGATAGAGAAATATGCCTTAGTGCAAGCCCCTAATCTAGACAGACATTAACAAAAGGTCTTACAAAGATCTCTCTTCACCCTATACACAAGGGCAAAGTTAGCCTAGACTTATTCATTAACCAAAAAATGTACACGCTGACTCAAAAAACTAAAAAAAAGAGAGACACCAACAAATTCACAAATAGTTGGTTCTGTGCTACATGATCCCGAAACAGGTGTGGAGTAACTTCCCGAAACCACGCTGAGCGGAACCTCAAGTTGCAACTCTTCATACGGTCATTGTGCTGGCTTGAGTTTCTTTATAACAATGTCTTCCAAGAGAAACTCGTTCTTGGAAACTATTTCCCTGGGCGATATTTGGCATGTTGTGTAGATCAGAGAGATTCACATTTTTTTTTTCATTTCACAATAGAACTAGTGCAAATGAGAAGCGAGGGAGGGGGAAAAAAGAAGGGTTACACAGCCAGATACAAGTGGAAAAGAAGAAAACCACATGAATACGCAGTTCTCCCATAAAAAGCTCAATGGACACTCAACTGCAGCTTCTTTTATTTTCAGCAAAGACTATGCAATCGAAGGTGAATATTTATTTCCAAAGTCACTGAAACCAACCTAAAAAGTCTCCCCTCCCTTTTTAATTATTACAGTAGAAATGTGCTTTTATTTAAAAAAGTCATTTTGTTGCATGTTACTGTTTTGCGCCTTTAATTATGTGGGGAGGGTGGGGGTGGGCAAGGTTGCCTCTTAACACTGCATGTGTGAACTGAGCCCTGGTAAAAAATGCTAGAGGCCTCAGTTCAGCAAAGCATGGGTTTCACTTTGAAGGTTGAGGTAAGTGAGCCTCAAGCTAGGGTGACCAGATGTCCCGATTTTATAGGGACAGTCCTGATATTTGGGGCTGTGTCTTGTACAGGTGCCTATTACCCCCATCCTGATTTTTCACGCTTGCTATCTGGTCACCCTACCTCACGCACATGCTTAAATGTTTTGCTGAACCACCGCCCATGTGACAGCCCTGGAGACTGGTTAAACAGACACGGCTTAAACAGGGGCAGTATAAGCTTCCCCAAGGCTGCCGTGGCTACATGCCTCAAAACCATGCCCTCCGGGCTGCCCTCTTCCAAGCAAGGGAACAGGGTTCTGGCTCTGGGGCCTGACAGCACTTAGGCTAGGTCTACACTACCCGCCTGAATCGGCGGGTAGAAATCGATCTCTCAGGGAATCGAATTATCGCGTCTCGTCGGGACGCGACAATCGATCCCCGAATCGACGCTCTTACTCCACCAGCGGAGGTGGGAGTAAGCGCCGTCGACGGGGAGCCGCAGAGGTCGATTTTGCCACCGTCCTCACAGCGGGGTAAGTCGGCTCCGATAGGTCGAATTCAGCTACGGAATTTGCGTATCTTAAATCGACCCCCCCCTGTAGTGAAGACCTGCCCTTAGCTTCTCTGCTGAGTCCCCCAGCAAGAGAGGGTCGTTAGCACCCACTCTGGCGTTGGGTTTCCTGCCATCAGCACCAGTTCGCTAGGAAAATCACAACGCATTCCTCTCCCATCGGGCCACTCAACAGCCATCAGCGTACAAAAGCTTCCATCCTGACTTAGATCTGAGCTAACTAGAGCTGCTTAAAGAACGGGACGGGGGGAATTGCAAGAAGTAAGTAAAAACAAAAACAAACCAGACGTTTCTGTGAAAGTTTTCAGCAAAAATTAGAAAACAAAAAACAAAACAGCAGTGCAGGGATGAAAGGCTCCTTATCCCAGTGCTCTGGGACATCCACTCCCCTTCTCTCTCTCTCTCTGGTTTTGTTACACGCTTTACGTAGATTGAGCGCTTTCTGCTACAGAAGCTCTAAAATATTAAAACACTATTTGCCCACAGATTGAAACCTATTCTATATTAAGACACACAGTGTAAAGCCACCAGCAGGCAGCTCGTCACAGCAACGCAGAGCCCGCGCGATGGAGACGCTCCTGTCGCCCATCTGGAAACTCAGCTTGGCTCCTATTCCTTGTGTGACCCTCTTGAGGGCGTTACAGGAGCCAAGAGAGACAGGAGTGAACCACGTTATACAGATCACACCACAGCCATGAACCCCAAGAGCAAAGAAAGTAAAGAGACAGACACCATTGTATCCAAGTCCCATTTAAACCGAAACCAAACCCGTTCTCCTTAGCAGTATCAGAAGCAATGTCATCCTCCGCAACTGACCTGCTGGAAGATATTTCCCCAGGGCATCTAGGGACAACTGAACACCTTAGGGCTCAACTTTCATCTGAGAAATGCTAGCAATATACTGCACATCTTAAAGGAAATAAAGGCCCCATAGAGCTCTGGTCCTAAGCCAATCAAGGAAAACAGAGACTTAGTTAATTTAGAGCATGCTTGGAAGTCTGCTAACCCCACTGCCAGTTTCTCTGTTCACTGAAAACCAGCATTAGATTAATCTTTGAGGCCATCATTTACAAGCAGGCTTTCCTGTTATGGGCTCTGCCAATGCAGATATGAAGGACTGAAGATGAAATTTGGGTTGGATTCAGAGAATAAGTGTCCCATGTCATCCCAGCTAGGCTTTGAACCAAGGGCCTGCTAGTCTGTAGGAAGCAGTTCTAGCTGTTGAGCCAAATGGAAGGATGCCACTTACAACTAACCTGGGAGCCTTACAAGCTCCATTGTGGTTTACACCCATCATACAAAAAAACCCACACAAAACACACACACACAGTGGAGATGGTAAACACTACTTAGAGACAGTCAGCTGAATTTAAGACACCAGGAGTTGAAGGGCTACTTCCACGTTGTCCCTGTCAAACTAGCTGGAGTGTGAAGCTAATGGTGATTATGTTGTTGCTTGCAGAGATTAAAAATCCACTGACAACTAGCCACTCTCCAATCAACAGCCCCAACCCAACTCATGTTCTGCAACTGAGGAATTGCTCGGTATAACTCTAGGCAAAGACAGTACACTGGTGGGAGTCGGTTTCCCTTGCTTGAGGAAGGGCTTATGGATCAAGAGTCTTTAATCACAGGTGTGGACAAATCAAGGTTCTGAGGCAAATTTTCCAGAAGCTCCTAAGTCTCTGAGGCACTTTTGGGGGGAAAAAATTGTTCTCTACCCCCCCTCCCCCCACCCAATCTCAAAACTTTCCTCTGGCAGATGCATCAGAATCTAGATAATATTTGATGTCAAGCTACATGGAACTGCCACATCTTGGCTCCCTTTATTCCTTGTGACAACCACGTGAGTATCACACAACTGGAGTATCTCATGGACACTCCCAGTCCCTGTTGACTTTGACAGCCTGTCCTTGCAAGGTGCTTAGCTCAGCAACGCACCTGTCTTGATTCCATTCGCCTCTTGATACCATTTTTTAGGCTGGTCACAGAGTCATCGAGTTTAAGGGCAGATGGGACCACCAAATCCTCTATATTCTGTATATCACAGGCCACAAACACCACCCATACACCAAACCTACCAACCAACGGCTACTGAAGCAGGGCTCCACTGACTTCAGAGTTACTCCTGATTTACACCAGAGAGGGGAGAATCAGGCCTATCACATGTTGAGAGAACTTTGCACCTTGCAGGATCAGGCCCACAAGCCTCATTCTAGAAACCAGTCACTTAACGCTCCTCTGCCCACACCCCCAGAAGCTGCCCTGGTCTAACTCCACACCACGACCCACAGACTCCAAGCTCTCAAGGACAGAGCTGCCCAAACCACCAACAGGTGATGGTTATAATTGTAACAACTTCCGGAACATCTGCCCCCACCTCGTCAGTCCTCCCAAGAGATCTCGTGCCAGCATTTATGTTGGAGGATTGTCAAGGCTCCCAACCTAGGCAGGTGCATCTCTTCCTTTCCAGCTGCTGTCTGTCTCCCACAAGCCCTCTGGGGGCTCCACTTCCTGCTCATGCTATTCTTCCGTCTCCTCCTCACTTTGGGAAGATATACACTGATTTCTAGCTCAGGCAGATGTACACACGCTAGCTCTGATCAAGCTAGTGCTTGAAATAGAATGATGCAGCTACAGTGGTACAAGCGGTGGCACGAGCTAGCAGAACCGAGTCCTTACCTAGGGTCTTGGATGGGATTGTACTCAGGTGGCTAGCATGGCCTGCTACCTCTGCTGCTACTTTTGGCATGCTAGCTCAATCAAATCTAGCACATGTACATCTCCCCGAGCTGGGAATGACACCTCTAGCTGCAGTGCAGGCATACGTTTGGTGACCCCACACATGAAAGCGAGGCGCCAAGCATCAGTCAGGGAAGCAATAGGGGCAGAACGAGGCAGGAAGGGTCGAGCACCAGGCGACAACAAGATGGATCTCCCACCCGTACCATGCAGGGGGGGGGGGGAAAAGTATATCTTTTGTGGCTGCACTCTGAGAACCCTCTGAACAGGAAAAACAAAGAACAAAGGACTGTCCTGTATGGGAAAAAAGCTACACATAACATATATCTTGCCATCAAAACACACTTCATAACGCACGACATTCTGGCACGAGCGGAGGTTGGCAGGAGTTATTGCAGCAAAGTGGCTACCAGTACTGGGATTGGTCTGGAGCATTTACACGGACTAGTATTTTCTAAGTGTGTGGGCACGGCAGAAGCTGATTGACTAGCTTTAGTGAGCATGAGTTTTGTTCTCTCCTTTGTGTACAGACATGAGAACATATGCACAGTAACATCAGCACTCAAGCATGGATAAGCAGCTCAGAAAGGCAGTAGGCGAGAAGCAAAGGAGCATGATCCACTCCTCTCAATGCAACTGCTTCTTCAGTACAGACACTGCAGGTCAAGGCGCACAGGCATGCCACACCAGCCTTGGTGGGCATATCCCAGGCCAGCAAGGTTAACTCTCCTCTTTGTGAGTGCTGGGCTTGCATTCTGTAAATCATTTCCTTTGAGAGGGGGAAAAAGAAAATTACTGGAAGATTTTCCTTCTGCAGAAGGAGTCCATTGACTCTCACACATCCATGTCTGCTGAGCAGGTACAGGACACACATTCAATCTCCACAGGGTTTTGCATTCAGGTTTGGTTCCCAGGATGGAGTGCATCTTCTTTTCAATCTGTTCTTCATGTAAACAGGGATTCTTAGAGAGACCGATCGCCGATACAAGGCTGCAGCATAGTGCTGAGGAGAACTTTAGATCATTGCCGGGCTCTCGGAAATCTCTTCTAGTCTTCGTTCTATCATTAGCCGGAGGACTGTGTATCTAGAGGAAGGAAGGAAGAAAGGAAGAGCCTTGTTAGAGCTGAGCCCAAAAATCTAGGTACCTTGACAAATTGTCAACAATACTATAACTCCTCACTCATATTAACTTCACAATAGGCCCTGAAGGTCTTTGAACTTAGACTGACCGGGCAAGGGAGTGGAGGAGCCAATTTCCATGAGTCAAGGGCCTTCTACCTCTAACCCAGTCACAGTCTTTGTATAGTTGTGAGCAAGATGTTAAAAAAAGAACTAGATAAATTCATGGAGGACAGGTCCATCAATGGCTATTAGCTTGGATGGACAGGGATGGTGTCCCTAGCCTCTGTTTGCCAGAAGCTGGGAATGGGCGACAGGGGATGAATCACCTGATGATTACCTGTTCTGTTCATTCCCTCTGGGGCACCTGGCATTGGCCACTGTTGGAAGACAGGACACTGGGCTAGATGGACCAATGGTCTCACCCAGTATGGCCGTTCTCATGTTCTTGTAAATCTATGGGCCAACAGCCCAAGATATTCTCAATTGTCTGCTAAGCGTGAGGAGAGGCACAGGCCTCTGAGGTAGCCAGAGCCACAAACCAAAGCAATATGAAGCCATATGTCAGCCCAAACTTCATAGAATCATAGAATATCAGGGTTGGAAGGGACCTCAGGAGGTCATCTAGTCCAACCCCCTGCTCAAAGCAGGACCAATCCCCAGACAGATCTTTACCCCAAATGCGCAAATGGCCCTCTCAAGAATTGAACTCACAACTACGGGCTCAGCAGACCAATGCTCAAACCAAGAGTTTGGGAACCTCAGACAAGCCTGCTTTGAGCTTCACAACAAACCTTGTCCCAAGCTCTATGTCTAACCAGACAGACCTCTCCCAAGGTCCCATCTGTTTAACCACTGGAAACAAGGAAGGTTGAGCTTGCCAGGGACTTTTTAAACACATGAATTAGCCAGCACATTTAGCCACATTATGAAAATAGAAGAAAGAACGCTTCCTCCTACACCCACCCTGCATTCTTTATGCGGACATGTACAAATGATGCCTCTAGTTGAAATACTGCCAGAAGTGGAGCATTTTCATCTCTGTCAATTTCTCTGCAGGAATAGCAGCGAACCATTCCCACTGCAAGTCATCACGGGCCAGGTTCTCAGCCAGGGAACAATTGTACCTTCACGCCTCACAGTTCACAAGTTCATGCTGCCAGGGGTTTTTTTTGGGTCCCCACAAGAGAACTAGCAGCACTGCTGGGATGTCAAAGGACACAAAGAATAACCTAGAATTCACCTTCCTAGACACACTTCAGGCTGGTCTACACTACTGTTTAAGTCAATGCAGCTGCGCCAATGTAGCGCCATAGTGTAGATTTGCCCCAAGACAGCAGCTAAAAAGGTAGCGTGTTCGAAGTCTGAAACCAACTGAACTGGCATGTTCGCATCCACGGAGGATAGACAGACAGACAATCACATTGTCAGCTCTCTGAAGCACCCGGCACACTTGGAGGCGCTGTGAAATAATTCATTATAAAGACAGAGGAAATGCTACATTGGAACAGACCATCTACTCTGGTATCCTGTCTCTGCATTCCAGCCCAGCAGTGGCTGCATCTGAAGTGGGGTAAAGCAATCCCCGCTAATAGCTGAGGAGCACTGGGATAAGAAAAAGGTGCAGAATATCGTCAAAACCATTTATCAGCATCATTATTAAAATGGGTCCCATTGCCAGGAAGCCCCTGTTGCCACAATTCAAGAATGGGCTATATGCAATATCAGCGTCTTCTGCTTCCCCACAGAATTGCACAGAGAAGGTTGAATATTGGGGGGGGCGGGGACCAAGCTTTTTGAAAGCAGGTGCCTAACTTTAGGCAGCTACACCCAGATAGGCACCGGGATGTGTGGCTCGCCTTTTCCCTCCCCAAGAACTCACTGACCAGTAACTCCCTTTAAATTGAAAGGGAGATGAAAGCAGTTCAGAACCTCTGCACATCGGGCCACTTATTTAGGTGCACAAGTATGGATTTAGATATACGGATCCAGAGGACTAAACCCCGGGTCTGGGCTACTGATGTTTCTGCTCTACCATCCAGCAGCCACAGCACAGCCATGATCAACACACTGCAAATCTTGGGAGACTCAACACCACAGGAAGTCCACCCACGGAAGACCCGACTGGCAGCACCCGTCATGACCTCGGATTGGTCCAGGCATGCTATTTAAGCACAGCTGAAGTTTCAGGAAGTTGTCTGTCCAACTTGACACTGCCTAGCCTGTTGCTTCACAGACCGTGCTCTTGTTCCCTGCTTCGCACCCCGGCTCCGTTTCTTGGCTCATTTCCCGACTATGGCTACAATTTCCAATTAGAATCCTGATTCCAACCTTCCGCTTGACTTCTGGTGTCTGACTCTGACCCATGCGCCAACAACCAAGCCTGACAACCCACAGGCTCCTAATGTCACGATACCGTTAAGCACCTGCTTGTGACAAATCTTGGCCTCAAGCATTCGTGGAAGAAGCCCACGGGACTATTTTAACTTGAGAAGGAAGCACCTACTTGTGCATAAGTTTCTTCACTTCACGGTCTTCTTCTTCTTGGAGCTTCTGGATGAAGCTTTTAAGAACTGGCATTTCAAATTTGATGTACTGAGCAACCTGCGTTGAAAGGAAAAATAAGAACACAATGGACGGAGCACTACCAAACAAATTCCTGTCATTGGCAGATCTGAAAGTGCTTTAAGGGCATTTAAACCTCCTACCATCCTGCCCCCCCCCCCCACCACCACCGGGGGCAGCATTCCCCCAGTACAAGGTTGATAAACTGAGGTATGGATGGTGAAGTCCCCCCCGCCCCCTGATGCAAAGAGAGCCAGCCCAAGTCTATCACTTAAACCCTCAAAAAGCAGGGTTTAAGTGGCATATAACCGTTGTGCTGGCCCTATGCACAGGGAGTGACCGGCTTTACAATAGATCACACTTCCAGTGACGTCAGTAGCAGGAGCTACTCCAAAAGCCCCACCCGAAGAGAGCAAATCGCAGGCCCCCAGTGTAACTGCTTAGGCAAAACACCGCTTGCCCTCTATTACATCCAGGCACCACAGGCCAGTGAGTCTATAGCTTCTTCTTATAAACCGCTGCTCACCGGTTTAACTGTTCTCTTTTCACAGGATGCTGCCTTGTGATGCAAGTTTCCTTCCATTCTATACAATGTAACTCAATGCAGAAGCTGTTTGCGCATTTGCAAAAAAGGCAGCAACACCAGTGTTGGGAAAATGTTGACATTTGGGAACACCTCACTGAAAGGTCTTTGCAATTGGCCACAAAATATTTCAAGACTAGAATGATCCTATAGTACGATGCAAGAGGAAATCTAGACAAACAATGGCAGCTTCCTTAAACAAGATGATTCAATACGTTTATTCAACCATTACTGAAGCTAAAGGCAAAAACAGAAATTCCTGGTTTTTCTGAACCATAGGAGCCAGTATTCTGGTTTGTTACACCAGTGTAACTTCACTGAAGTCAGACAAGTTACTCCAGGATTACACTGGTGTAAAAGAGTAGAATAGATCCCAGTAACTCTAAATGAAAATATCTTTTATATCCATACCACTTACTTTCTGCTAATACAAATCACTATAAATCAGTTAATGAAGAGACCTCCAATAATAATTTTGGCTGTACAAGCTGGTCTCAATTCTGGAGTGAACTCCAACCTCTCTCGAGTACATGTGCACAGATCCTAGTGTATGTGTGTCTACTGAGGGAGTGAAACCTGTTAAGTTCCATCAATTGATATAGAACACTGTATCCTGAACTCTGCTGACTTTCTGTCTTGTTTGCTGAAATTAAATGTGAGGACAAACAGGGAATCCAGTTGCAATAGGATTACACTCTATTATCCACCAGATGGCAGAAAATAGCTATTGGCTATGAGCATTAATTTCTCTCCTTTGAAACAATGGATTATGTCAAGGGACATGTTAGAAATGAGAGGTTGTAATGATTGTTGATCAAATGCGGAAGAGCTAAAATCTGATCACATGATCTGGCTCTTGATACTATAAAACTAGGGTAAGTGACAGAAGTCAGTGGCATAGCCAGGCAGATCCAGGTGATTTATTAATCCAAAGAGTGCCTGTTTTTACCATCCCGAAATGTTCCCATCCTGAACAGGGATAAGAAGTTCAAGTCTCAAAAATGTTCATGAATGAAAAATTAAAAACCAAAACCAATAAAAAAAAAAGACACCCAAAAACTCTGCGATCAGGTCAAAAAGTTACATTTCAAAATGTTTAGTTTTCAACTTATATATTTTTATAATATTTTTATTACTATTTAAGTCAATTTTTTAAACAAAAAGTCTTCTGAATTAAAAAACAGCTTTTTCATTTCAAAACATGTCAAAATGAGAAATTTCAGCAATTTCAAAACTTTTCAAAAAATTTTCCAAGTGGAAAATTTATCAAAAAAATTGACCCTTTCCCATGAACAGTTTTGAATTCCGATGAATCTGCACTTTGGGACAAAAAACGCTTCCTCAAAACATTCCCAAACAGCCCTACAACCCAATCACTAAGGAGTTGGGTACTGTAGAGATGGGGTGTTGATAAGGGAACTCAACTTGGTAAACCTTCTGCATGGACTCAGCCATCATCCACTACAGCGACGAATATAGATTAATCAGGTTTGGCTACTATTTGGGAATTGTAACTTCACCCCTTATCAAAAAAGGCCGAGAGAGAGAGATGAAGGCTGAATCTTCAAAATGGATCTTAAAAGGGACTTAAGGTAAAATTTTCAGAACCACCTAATTGGATTTAATCTCCCAAGACACACTATGACCTATGGGCCTCTTGATGCCAACTGGCTGCAGACACTCAGGGTGCATCATTTTACAGGGATCCCTATGGACATGTAGTAGAGTTCACCAAAAGGTGTCATGTGATGTCTCTACCAAGAGCCGGTAGCCCGCCGCTCATTATAATCCTTACAAATGTGCGCAAGAAAGATATTTAAAGAAGTTATGCATCTATGCTAAAAATTATGCTCGTAAGGTCACGAGGAGATAAGCATCTACTTCCTGCCTAAAAGGAACATGCTATCTCCCTGTCTGGTCCTAGGTGTACTCAGGGTTACCACTTTTGAAATGCAAAAAAAATGGCACCCCACACACAAAGGCAAGCCCACTGCCTCCCCAGCCACAAGGCAACTCCACACACACCCCCGGTTCCCCAACAGCCACTTATTGTATCTAGAGAGACATTATATATAGATAAGACTGAGAATATCTCGTCTCCTCACTCCTGTGGGACTCAAACCCTCTCTCGTGCACATGCACGGTGCGCTTGCATGTTGGTGGGCAGACAGCTGCTGTATTATCAACAGTTTTGATCTGTTATCGCGGAATAGGGGACACTGCAGCATCTTTAGCTGGACACAGACACTTAACATTAGCTATCCAGTGTATTGTGATAATAATGCAAATTTTTATATCCATGTAAAAAATAAAATAAAAAAAAATAAAATAAAAAAGCCCTGGCAGATTAAATTATTTTCCTAGCAACTGGCAAATCCATAAAAAAAAAAAACACCACACACCACAGCCATGCCGGTCAAATACCGGCCAGATGGTAACAGACGGTAACACTACTTGTACAGCATATTGTCCACTTCACAATGAAAGATCACAGCCACCCCTGGCTGCATAGCACTGGCAAGCAATGCTTTAGACATGAGAGTATCTTGTTAATTAAGTCCAGGCTCTAGAATGCATGTTACGATTTTATTTATAGGTAACCATTTGATTCCAACACTTCCACTTGAATTCGTAAGCTTTGTTACTCTGACTTGTACCGGTTTTCACTACCAACATATCTAAGTGCTGTGAATAACGCAGAGTGGTGCTTGGAGGTGAAACTGGTAAGATGGGGGTTACTGCTTCTTTGGAACTCTGGAAATACTGCAAATGTTCAGCAGACCAGGGGCTGGATGCTCCAGGGAGATGTTTTCAGGGCTGGGCGGTTAGAGTGTGCCCATCGCTACCCCGTAGAGAGCGCAAGCAAGGCCTGCGGAGGCTTAGAGAGGACTGCTTGTGTTGCAGAGGCTGGTGGAGTTGGGGAGCAGGCCCAGACAAGGCTCCCTCAAGCTAAGGGCAGGTGATAGTGAGGTGTCTCACAGCCCTGGGCAACCCGGGAAATGTCACACCCACTGAAAAAGTCCCCAAATTAAAGTTTTACCCTACAACACCCAACTACCATCATATTTGGGTCCCTTAAGCTCATCCCACAATTGAAACAGACAATAAGATTGAACAGCAGTTACTCTTAAAGAAACCCTAGATATTCCCATAAAGAAAGATTCTCTGTTGCATTTTTAAAGCCATCTTGCAAACTATCCCCCGGCTATAAGCTATTAGCATACTTTAGTTTTAAAATTCTATAGGTCTTCTCTGTAGACTTATTAGCAATGCGTTCAATGTTTGTTGAGCCAAGCAGGGAAGTGATCTTTTCTCCTAATAATGCAAGAGCATTATTTCCCTGTCCTACCTCATCAGTGCCAAAATTCAAAACAGGGCCAGAACACTTGAGATCTCACAGCGCTTTTCGCAAGAGCACTTTATGTAGCATCTTGGCCAGATTCCAGTTGGTAATAACTTTCTCCTTTCCTAATCTCCCCCCCCTCCCCCACTCTCAGTTATAGATTATGGGGTCCTCTATTTCCTCCTAAGAGGAGCACCATGTTCCAATCCAGAGGCAGCAGCATGAAAATTGCAGGCACGCATGCTAGAGGGAAGAGAGATGGCGAACTTCAAGCACAGCTGAACACTGGCTCTGCATTTTCCGCTGAACAAGTTATGCGCTTTTAGCATTTGCACTCATGCTACAAGTATGGCTTAATTGCAATGCTAGCCAGTTCACCTGGTTAAGTGCCCGCAGTGGGAGGATTGCCACTCTACTCCTAACACAGCACATGCATACAATGACAATATATACGAATATTCCCACACCCACTTATTTAAATAGCATAGCCCTGAAGCAAGACTGTACTTGGGAACATAGTATCAGGGGGTAGCTGTGTTAGTCTGTATCTACAAAAACAACAAGGAGTCTGGTGGCACCTTAAAGACTAACAGATTTATTTGGGCATAAGCTTTCGTGAGTAAAAACCTCACTCTATGCATCCGAAGAAGTGAGGTTTTTACTC